CGGGAACCCCTAGAATTATTATTTATAATTGTGGGAGATATTTGAGCCCACAGCCCACCTAGAGAACCATTATTAACCAATATAAAGCAAAAGAGAGAGAGTGGGAGTGGGGTATAATTTTCTTGGAAAAGATGAATAATAATTTGAGGAAAGTATTGCAGTAGAATATATTCAAATTTCTAGTGAAAATGACAAAAATTAATACTAGAAAATACTTCAGCAGTTTCAATATAAAAGTCGACCCTCTCAATTTAGAATCTCAAAGCCAAGCTATAGCAACATTCCCGTGATTCTCCCGTGTTCAGCAAAAAAATTAATATATAAAGAATTATACTAAACATAATGTTTCACGCCTATCATGACGATCCTCAGTAGTTATACAATTCTTTAAACAACTTAAACTTGCAGAAAATCCATTCTTGTGTTTGCAATGGGGGACAGAAATATAGTGCCCCCCCCCCTTGCTCCCAACAATTGTCAAGGAGACTATTCCTCTCCCTAGTGGCCAATCTTTTTTAACCCTATTCAGATTGACGTCAAAATATAATGGGGCGGGCCCTCTCTATTGCCTTATTGTTATACAAATCAATAATATTTGATACATTTTGGAAAGTTCTCGGGGTCTTCTTTAATAATCACCAAAAAAAAAATTCAAATACTTATTGCAAAATAAATTTATTTAGCAAAAAATGTGCAAAAACAAAAAGTGTGCGAACTATAATATATAATATATTTAAAAACATTTAACCCAACAAATTTGCAATTATTAAAATATTTGCAAATTTTTGAAAAACTGAATATATATTCAAGAGGAAAATTAAACATGTGCAAATTCCCTTTAAAGGCGTCTGTGCAAAAATATGCCAAAGGAAATGAGTTTTTGTCACAAACTCAAATGCTCTAATCCCTATATCTTTACAATCTGATGATGTAAACCTTTGATATTTCAAACTTAGATTATTTGGACTAACAGAATTCATATTTTGAAATATCAAAGGTCTAGGACATTGGGTAGCAAAGATATAGAGATTAGAAAGTAGAGTTTGTGGCAAAAACTCAGTTCCTTTCTTTTAAAAATTGTGCAATCTTCTTTCTTCTGATAAATGCTTTCTAAAAAGCCTTAAAATATTGAAATCAAATGACATGAAGTAGGTCTAAATACAGATTTAGTCTGCTATAGGTAAAATAAGGCATTCAGGCAGTATGCCTGAGGACTCAGGCAGTGGGTTTAAAATCTCCGCTTTAAGCTTATAGAGAGGAGCATTTGTTAGTCAAAAAAAGTCAACAAATTTGAACAACCTCAGACAAATATTTTTCGAGTTATGTCCAAAAAATGTTAGGGGGGTCCCCGGGACCCCCTCCAACTGGCAAAGGGTTAATATTCATTTTATGCAAAATTACAGCATGTTATTAAGTAAATAATTTATTGCATTTAAAGATGGAAAATTCCAGTTTTAAGATTTCAAACTTTTATGAAGATTGTTTCAGCTAAATTGATTCTAAGAGTGCAATAATTAAGCATGTCTAAATTTTACAGAAAATGAACATCGTTCATTTTAAAATAAAGCATTTAAAGAAACTAAAATTAATTTTTACAATATTTTAGCATAATGCTTAGTTTTCCATCTGAGCTTATCAATGTGAACTTTAAGTTCGCAGTAAAATATCAATAAAAAATCTACTTGAAAAATGTGTCTTTAAGAAATTAAAGTGACCTTTGTGCTTTAAATATATAATATACCCATTTTTTGTTAAGCATTAAATTCTTTAATGTTGGCAAAACTGAATAGAAAGACGGGGCGGAGAGGAGGGGGTCAAGAAGAGGGCAATTCAGGAGAATTTTTACTTTTTTCAAACTATGCAGTGAAGAACGCCTTAAAAAAACATTGGAATCTTGCACATTTAAGTTCAATTTCTTTTCCTAGTGGGAGTGGGACACATTTTTTACAAATTAAATTTATATTATAAGAGAAACCTAACCAAATAAAATGTTTTGTGGGATAACATAGCTTCAAGAATAAAAGGTCTATGACCGAAAAAAAAATTGGATTTCCCCTAAAAATATTTTAATTTAAAATTAGAAATTTACAATAAAAGCAAGAAATTTTTTTGTTCCATACATGTGTAATAAATTTAGTAATAACCCCATTATCTCAGAAACCTGAACCTAAATATTACATTATGATCACCTGACCATATTATCGGATAGTTTTAAATTGTATTTTTACCTGATACTTAAATATAGTTTAGTTGGATATGAACCACTCTTATATTACGGTCAGAAATATATCATTGCTTGGTAGAGAGTATAGAGTCTATAGCTTTGTGTGTCCATAAATACATACTTGAGAATACAGAAAGAGTTGTATCTGGATTGATACATACTTAAGAATACAGAGGGTTGTATCTAGATTAATGCAGACTTAAAAAACTATTGGAGAAAGGCATTTGTTACAAAAGTAGTGGCTGTGGTGAGACCTATGAAATCTAGTTAAATGCCATGGACTCCAAGGAAGAAAGCAAAGTCAGAACTTGGTTTAACTGAAGAATATGAGAAACCCTAGAAGTAGGAACTGTGTCAAAAGAAGCAGTAACTGTACAGCAACAAGTTGAGACTGCAAACAGCAAAAGTGTAATAGTGGACAGTTTTGGATTTTACCCTAGTTTTCCTTGTGAAGACAAATTGGATACAGAAACCCTCCACTTACAGAATGATAATGCAAAACATTGATCAAATGAAGCTGGAAACAGATACATAGAGGCAAAAGTAGCAAGCATTGGAAACAAAAATTAAATCAGTCATACATGCAGACATGGTAAAATAACGAGACACCGGAACCCAAGGATCTTATTGCAAGAGTACAGGCAATGTTAGAGTAGAATAAGAAGACAAATTCGACACAAAGATACCTGGAGCATATAGATGGATTGGTTACAACTGAAGCAGCAACAACGAAATATACGCTGAGATAAGTAAAGCTGCAGCTGGTTTTGAGAAGAGGTTACTGAGTTTTGGGAAGTTTTAGCGGAAACCCAGAAAAAGTGTTCCAATGGTGGGAGAATCTCAGCCTGGAAACTTATTTGTCTGAATGTAAATGGGGAAACGATCCCAAATGAAGATTTGAAAAGGATGCTGTTGTCCTGAATCACAGGAGCAGATAGATAAGAGATAGTGCTGTTGCAGCCTCAAGGATTAGCATTTGAAAGCTATGAGACAAGGGGCTGTTAAGGAATACAATACAAAATTCAATGTGAAACTTTTCTATACTTTGCTTGTGCTTTTTAAAATAAAAATAAAAATTATGTCTAAAATATTTCGTTTTACTACTGTAAACTTGTAGTTTCTAAGAGATGAATTGACCTTGACACCTAAATCTTAATTTTGCCGAAAACAAGAAAACGGCTTCCACCTGATACTGCTTTGATCAACCTAATATTTTCTCAAAATGCTCATTTGCGGCTACATCACCCATAGAACCTGAAAATATTTCGGTTTACTACAGTAAACTTTTAGTTTCTAAGAGATGAGCAGATACACCAAGTGTTGTGATTTTGAAACTCTATTAAAAATGAAACACAAAGTTTTTCCCATGATATCTCATATATTTTACATGTGATATTTACAAGAAATAAAATCTAAATATTCTGGCATTACATTACTCATGATTAAAACGTTGTGAATATGCGAGATCTTGCACTGGTATCTTTGCTAAGATCACAACATGTGAAAAAACGACAAGAATTGAAATAGAATTATCTCATATATCTTACAAGTGATAACTACAAGAATTAAAATCTAAAAATTCTGGCATTGCATACTCATGTTTAACATGATAGGAATATGCAAGATCTTCCACTGGTTTATATTGCTACATGCACAACATGGGAAAAAACTATGGGAATTTTTAAAGAATATTTCTGCGTTTTTTACCCGTGCTGTACAGAGGAGGAATCTTCAAGATTGTGAAAAGTAGCTATACCACAAGTTAGGAGCATATACTCAAGAAAAAGCCTGGTAGAATTCAAGAATGTAATGCTCATGGGACTGTACCATGCAGAGTTGAAGAAAACATGCATATTGTTAATGCCTTAGGAATATGAAATGGAGATCAAAGCAATACTCAATTATCAGCTAGTCAACATGAGAATGTTCAACACAGACCCCAGGGTTCTTTCCCATGGTATGGCTGGATTAAGGAGCACATATAGTTTTGAGACAGAGGGAAACAGCACAAAAACGGAGGAGATGTGGAAAGCAGTATAAGTTCCATGAATGTAAACGGGATGACTGATTTGGTGTTATATGAATCAGATATTGAAGAAAGTCATGGAGATGTCAACTCCATGGAGATGACTGTTTCTTCTGCAAGAAAACTGGTCATCAGAGTAAAGATTGAAGGAAGTATGAAGAAATGAAGAAGAAGAATCGAAACTGGAAGACTGGAAGTACCAACTGAAAGCCTATTTCCTGTTATAATTGTGAAAGCAGGGAAAGCAGGACATATTTTGCAGGAATGCAGAGGAGAAAGACGGAATAATGGTACTACAGGCCATGTTAATGATGTTTTTTCTAAAAGGAGGATCAGGAAACACTATAAACAACACTAGTACAGGATATATGGAATCTAAAACGGGGGTACCCTTACATGTATTTCAAGAGGAGGGAAATTCAACAGAAGTCTCTCTAATGGATGTTTAAAGCTGATGATTAATCGACAGGAGAGAGTAGAAGTTAATTCAATATATATNTGGGTGGGAGGGAAGGAATGTGGATCATTATAGGGCTAACGATCCCTATATTATCCAACCTTTGATTTATATCTATTCTTGTCTAGTATCCATTCTGCTTTCCTGCTGAATATTTTGAACATCTTGGGTATTAATCCCCTGACCATATTATTGTCAGTTTTAATCTTTATCTGTACCTGATACTCAAATATAGTTTTGCTGAATATGAACCATTGTTTTATTATGGTCAGAAATATACCATTGCTTGGTAGAGAGTATAGAGTTGCTCAGGAAACATTTTTACCAACTTTCTGTGCTGATGGCAAAGATGTCAGGTAAATAGTTCTGGACTTTATGTGTTCGCCATCGGTTTGTCGGAGACTAAATGTTTGCAAGGTATTGATAAATACATATTTGAGAATACAGAGAGTTGTATCTGGCTTGATACATATCTTTCGAAAACAGAGAGTTGTATCTGGAATGATGTACCCAGCTATCCAAATTGCGTAAGCATCGTAAACGCATAATATTTTGTCTCCAATTACGCAATTAAAAAGCAAATTTGCATAAGTCTAGATTTCAAAGTAGTGTAAATATCTAATTTTTCTAAAGTAAATATTTTATAACCCAGCTTTAAGTAAAAATATCATAAATTTGTGGAGATGTGTATCATTTTATTTCAGGTATACAAATTGCGTAAAAATACGCTCAATTTGCGTAATTGCCTAAAACTCTAAGTTAAATATCGAAGAATTGAGTGGCCTAGGTGTGTGTGCACTGCAGTGCAGAGTGCAGCAATATATAATGTTATATTAAATAGAAAGCCATGTGATTTGTAGATAAGAGTGGGAAGGGGGGGGGCTAATTGGGCAGAGAATTTAAAGCGCTACATAGCAAACTGGTTTTTAGTACCAAATTTTACCGCTAGGTGTCTCTGTTTGTTTTACGTAAAATTTTAAAAAAGAAAAAGGTACGGATTAAATTTAAATTTGCGTAGCTAAGTGTGCGATTTTACGTCTTTCATGACGTAAAAAGAACCAAAATCTCTACGTAAAATTTACGTAAAATGCGAAAAGTGACGTTTAATTTGCGCTCTTTTTGTGCAATTTGGCTATCTGGGTATACTTGAAGTACTGATGGAGTAAGGCATTTGTTACATATGGATAGGGTTGTTAATCGTTTTTGTAAACGATCGTTAAACAATCGTTTTTTGTTTCGTTTTCAAAAACGATCGTTTCGTTTTCAGAAAAAAAAACGATCGTTTTTAAAAATGACCCACTCGTTTTGAACTTTTAGAAAACGAATAGCGATTGTTTTTGAAAACGATCGTTTTATTAAAACGATTTGCGATAGTTTTTTATACAATTGTTTTTTAAAAAACGATCGTTTTTGAAATTTTTTTATTGACAATTATGTTAACGATCGTTAACGAAGGGTCGTCGTTAACGATCGTTAACGAAGGGTCGTCGTTAGCGATCGTTAACAAAGGGTCGTCGTTAACAAAGGGTCGTCGTTAACGAAGGTCAGTCGTTAACAATCGTTAACAAAACGACGAATTTTATAAAAACGATCGTTTTTCAAAACGATCGTTTTTATAAAATATTTTTATAAACGAGCGTTTTGAAATATATAAAATATTTTTATAAACGAGCGTTTTGAAAAACGATCGTTTTAAAAACGACCATTTTTAAAAAAAACGAACTTTTTAAAAAACGATCGTTTTTAAAAACTATCGTTTCGTTTTCGATTTTTCGTCGTCGTTATCATAACGAAACGATCGTTTTTCTGAAAAATGAAAACGTTAACATCCCTACATATGGATAACATTAATCACAACTCATAAAAATTTGCGATCATTAAAAGTATTTAAAATTGTACGTTTTTTAAATTTAAAATTAATGGTGTTAAAGTTTTTAAAAGTTGTTTTGCTCCTATTAAAGAACTGTAGCTGTCAAAACTTTAAATAAAAAGCTTGCTAACACATTCTGTACCCTTTACCCCCTTCTCTATCTAACAAATCCCTAAAATTATTATGATTTAGAGAGTGGATGGTTTGCAAGTTTTCCTGACTCTGCGGCCGAGAGAAGGGAGAGCGGGGGGGGGGGGGAGCGCGCTGTTAGGGCAGTGAATGCTATCAGCACTCAGGCTGAGTGAGTTAGTCAAACCTAGGGAGGCCAGCCGACAACAACAACAACAAAGGAATAAAGCTTGGTAGGTTATTGTAACCTTCAATTAATATCAGATTATACTCGTCAAAACTATAGACTCACTGCTTAAATTAAACTAAATATATTTCGATCCTTTTATTCCTTAGTCAACTGATTCATTTTAAAACTCATTTTGTTTGATCTCTAAGTTTAATGCACGGGAGCGTTGCTGTATTTGAAAGTAAAATGTAAAATGGCCGACAGTTAATATAACTTATATTTTACCTACTATATATACTAAATTAGCGTAGTGGAAATTTTCTACATCTACTGTCATTTTCGGCTTTTGTATCGGGCCAATTTATGATTACTAATATATCTAAAATAGTGGAAGGGGACCTACTCATTTAGTTTCATTGCTACTTGATATTCGTGCGAAGTAAAATGTATATTTTTGGTTGAGCAGTCAAGCCAATCCAACCAGATTAAAAATCATCCAACCAATCCATCCTTTCTTTTTTAACCTTCGTGAATCCAGCAGTCTTTTTTCATCTCTTTGTTTTATATTGTAATCATTTTTTTCACATATATACAGTCTATTGTTACGCTATTTCTGTTAAAAAAATATTTGAATAAATAGCAGCGTCCGTAAACTATTTTTAATTATAAATTTATTCTTACTTAAAAAACTTTTATTATATTCTTAGATTGATTTACTTGAAGCACCAATCTCATTAAAATGTTAGGAATTTTAAGAAATTTTACTAAATTTGTTACACAATTATAACATTAACTATTTTTACAATTTACATGTTTTGGTTCTAGAGTTGCCAGATAACCCAAGTCCACTTGATCATTAATTATACATTTAATAATTTACAATATGTTATAATTTATTTTAAATTTAGATCATATTCCGCGGCAGTTGGTTGAGTTTATCTTGAAGAACCAAACCTAGGGTTTTCTGTAAGCCCTCTCCTTACCACCCGTCAACCTGGATAGTTTTTACTCAACGTTTTCAAATCTTCCCCGATCTATCTCCAAGACGAAGCAAGTCTCAACATGAAGTTAGAACTACTGTCTGCCTCGAATTTTCTCGTGCATTTGGTCCGACTAGCCAAAAGAAATGTGCCAGATTCACAACTCCAGAAATTTAACGAGTGTTTAATCGAAGTCCTCCGACGGCGGTACAGGGATCATTGGTTCCCTGAGAGGCCCTGCAAAGGATCCGGATTCAGATGTCTGCGGATCAACGGTAAAATGGATCCTCTGGTGGGACAGGCTGGGGAGGCCTGTGGATTGTCCTCCAAGTTCTTGCATCAAATCTTTCCAAGTGAACTCACGCTTTGGATTGATCCTTTAGAGGTATCTTATAGGATCGGAGAGAATGGAAGTATTTGTGTGTTGTACGAACACCAGGAGGGAGTTACAGATCCATGGAGGCCAACCCTTCATCTTAACAATAAGAACACAACCTCAAGTCAGAACAAGAATGTTGTGAGGACAACGGGGATCGAACTCAAGAGTCCAACGACGTGTAGTCAGGACTCCTACAGAAATATGTCGATAGAACAGTTGGCGGCGTTCGTCTCCAGCTAGATATTCTTCATTCAGTAATCTCTTGTCCCAAGAGCAGATTTTGGGCCACAGATCTTTTTCAATTCTGTAAAAAGTGATGAAATTGTTTCAGGGGCTTAAATACCAATCTGCTCCGACACCCACTTCTCTACTGACCTGAAATAACCGCATAAAGCTCCGCCTTAACACCTGAACTTACGGCGCACACAGGGCCCCTCTCTCCGCCACACTTTGATCTCATGAACCAAGTGTTAGGATAGAGGTGATGCTTTGTTTTAATGACCATGGGTTCGAATCCCTGGACACCCTGTAAACCTCTCCCTTGTTGGGGACCAATTGACCTGGACCGATCCTGATAAGTCGAGCAAAGTGCTGTGAAAAAGGGGTTGCAAAACCAAATCCTGCCTGATTCTTGGAGTCTTCTGCCCCCCTTTACTGCTCGTTTCGGTCAATGTACGGCCATATATCACAAGAGATAAAGTTGATCATCATAGAAAGCTGATAAATCCTCCAAACATCTTGCTTAAGAATCCACCAGCCGGCTGAAATATCCGTGAAGATCTTGCTGAAAATCCGCCAGAGCGCGCTGGAAGCTGAAATGCGCCAACACCTCTTTAAGTGCCGCAAGAGAATTTCGCCCTGAAAATTTACACTTTTCTCCTCACATACCCTGGGGGAAAAATTGATTGTCAGAAAAAGGGAAAATGGATATTTGCTTCGATTTATGATCTCGACAAAAACCTCCTGAAGTGCAAACTAAAATATTTTATAATTCATTCAGTCAAAAAGTATGTATAGTATTTATATTAAGTCCAGACGTACACATAAACCCCTCCAACCCTGGGCTTAACTTTATTGTGATATACCCTACAAGTCTGACAAAAGGAACGAAAGTCGAAATATTTTGTTTAGTTCTACCATATACCAATGATTCCTTGTACTGAGTAAAATTCGGGGGAGACTTTAAAAATCTTTGTGCACCTCCTTTTTCATGGCACTTTTTTGGCAGTGAAAATTCTTAAAGTGACCCTAATTTAAGCCATAGTTGTTTATTCATAGAACCCACCCTCCAACTCTTGATACATGATAACATGAAAGTCTTTCTTTGGTATGTCCAACCGTTTCAAGTCGGCCATTTTTAACGTTGGCCATTTTGAATTCAAGTCTGCCATGTTGATTTTAAATGCCCATTTGAAGCGCTTGCCTACTGCCACACAACCGGGGGTGGATTCTAATTTTAAACCGATATATGTTTTGTGACAATTATGTGATGTTAAAATTCTGTATTACCGTGGGGCTCAGCTTATAAATGTCAACTGAATGTCCATAAAATGTCACCTTTTTTGAGCAGACATTCGTCTGATATTTTGCTGCACAGGGAGATGTTGTAAATTTTTTAACGTTTTACTTTCTAAAAGGACACGTTCTCCCTTTATATCCAAATCATGAAGAGACTATCTACCTATGGGTGACATTTAATATATTTCTTGAACACAAAAACATACAAAAAAAAGGAAAAATTTGGCTGTGAGTTCCTCATTGTAATAGATTTCTGTGATTTATCCTAAAGTATTTTATGTAATCAGCGGACTCTCAAAAAAAATCTAAAAAATCCGCGAGAATTTGTAAAAAAAACTTGTGCGACGGTTCCCGCCCAAAACGTCGGGTTCTTAACGGCTTCTTTAATCTTTTTAGAACCCTGAAACCCCCCGAGCTGTGACTTTTTCTGGATCGACCACTATTAAACCAGTGTGCAATTAAAAGTATTCATTACTGCGGTCCTCAAATACAGTTTCTGGTGAGATAAAAAATTGCAAATTCGGGATAAAAAATGTCTCTCTTGGATTAAAAAAAACGTTTAAAGATTTATATTTAAATGCACTACGGTACAAAACTTCATTTTTGCGGTTATTCGCAGCAAGTGCACAGCCATTGTAGTTTTCACATAGCTTTTATTTTATTATTGTAGATTTCAATCAATTTTTAGGTTCCGACTTTTTAGAAGGGTCGAATCCCTAGTGCCAATACGTTGTCCCCCTTTAAGTACAGAATGTGTGTCCCCTATAAGAACAGTGTATATCGGTAGGCCAAACCGAGCAACTAAATTTTTTTAATTGTAAAATCTATATATCTTATATATATATGTATTCTGTAAGGTTCGGCCTCATCTGTATTGCACTTTTCTTTCCGGGCGCTTGTTAAATGTATTTCTACATTTGACCACGAGATGTTTTCCACATCGGACAGTTATTGTTTTTGTAGAGAGTGCCTAGGTGCACGATTGCAAAAATTTAACTATTAATGTATATATATATATCAATAAATTCATCAAGCAAAATCTAGTTTTCTTTATCTCAAGATTAAAGTGCGTTTACCTGGGTACAGTGAGAAACAGACAACTGTTGCAATTGGAAGATAAAAAAGCATGTTTAGGTGTAAAGTATGTTATTATAAAGGAAAAAGTGTTACTAGCAACTTATTAAATCGCTGGAAAGCCAAATGCTCAAGCTAAGATAAAGAAAGTGAGCTAGGGTTTTTGTCACAATTGATAAATTTGAAAGAAATTAAGATATAGATCCTCCGAACGTTGAACCAATATAAATTGACAGTGGTTAGAAAAGTGAAAGATGGGTTAATTAGAAACCTACAGGATGTCTTGTACATTTTGTGAGATCGTGTATAGCTAAAAATTGTGATTTTAGGGACTTAATCAGAAAATCTATTAACAACCAATCATTTTTAAATATGTAAGAGGTTTTTGTAAAAGTTTTCTTGTAGAAAATACTAGGGTTTTCGATTATTGTGTGCGTATTTTGGCGTTAAAGCTTGGAGATAATATTATTTGGGACGCTCTGTATATAAATGGCTGAAGAGGCTGAACAAATTTAAACTTAAAAATTTAAAATTTAAAAGATCGGAGGCTAGATTTTTAAACAATTATAAAAAATCTGCCGTGATGTTCAGTATTTGCGTATGCAAAATAGGAAAGCTAATTTTTTAATAATTTTATTTATGGTTTCTATATTTTTATGTTTTATCACACAATTAATAGTCTAAGTTTGCCGGATTGACATGGTTTCAAAAAAAAGTTAATGCTCTAAATTTTATTTCCAAGAAAGGTTTAAAGTGGGGAGCTTTAAGTATACTTTTCCCCACAAAAAATCTAATGTTCTACATGTTTAACTTGAGCCGAAAATGTTTAAAATGACATTTTCAAGCTATTTTTTTAGTTGTTAACAATGTAAAAAATTAAGTTTTTTGTGTGTTGTCGTTTTAAGGTTATCACTGAATTTGTTTAATTTAATTGCTTTCAAGTTAAAACTGGTTTATAAGACTTTTTTGTGACTAGTGCGTAGATAGAGAAATTATCTAGATCACGTTAATAAAAATGTGTTGAATTATCATAATAAAAACTTAACCCACGCACAACACATGATAAGCATAGTGTAGAAAATAGAGATAATATATTTATTTAGTCAAGTTGTAAAAGAATGGAAATGACACCAATTCTATACAGAATCAAAAGTAATAAAAATGTTTAAGAAAAAATCACAATTTAATGCGTTTTTATTAAATAAAAAAATTACATTTTGTTGTTTTGAGCACTTATTATACTTTTAGTTGCGCAATTGTTGCAAACATTGTTGGCACATTTTTCAACTTAATCATTAAGTTCTTCGATATACAGGGTTAGCCACAAAGGACGAGAACTAATATTGACTGTTTCATTATACTTATGATTCCCTACAACTTTTTACTCACTTTTTCTTTGCCTAATCATTTCCTTGTCTCTGATGCAAAAATCTAAAAGTCAATTTTGTAGACGAATCAAATAATACTTTTTGCAATGTGCAACTCAGAAAACATCCCTATATGAACCATACCGCCCCCCACTCCCCCGTAAAATAAATTTTTAAAGAAGACTACCTTTTAAAGTTTCCAATTGAAATTACGCATACAGTCCCTTTCAGGGCTGAATTAACCCCTAGGAACCGTAGTTTTTANGGGGTGGTAAGCCACCACAGTCCCCACCTGAATACGCCCCTGCTCCCCCCATTTTTAAAATTAAGTCCCCCCTCCTCCCTCCCTTAATCAGCTCCCCTACATAGCAGACTATTCAAAAACTTAATTCTGTCTTTAAAAAGATAATTAAAAAAGTTATTATCGTGATCCGTAATTAATCATTAAAATAGAACAAAGGAATTTATTTTTATCTGTAAACCATAACATTAAGCCTATATTTTAGGTGCATAAATAGTACTCCCCCTCCCCCACACCCTCTGCAAGTTACCAAGCGAAATGCATACTCTCATTTAGTCTTTAAACGTTTAAATTAAATAGTTAAAAACAATACCCATTATTAAATCTTACAGCGTCGACTAGTCTGAAGTGGAAACTGGAAGAGAAACCCTTAATTAAAGATTACCTTTTAGCCGTTTATTGGATTAACAACAATGGTCTAACCAGTCTTGAAAACATTTCAATTCTCTTGATTTCCTTAATTTTCTCTTATACAAATATCCGCCATTTTGTCACCGATATGGAGCAATTAAAGAAAATAAAAAAAAATTTCAGATAAAACAGGAATAACCGCTAAGATAAAATATAGAAGAAAGGGTCAATTATAATCACGTGTACAGTCCCTTTCAGTTCTTTTGTTAAAACACTTTGTAAACCTGTTTTCTGTATTTTCTTTGTCTTCCCGTGACTTCAGTGTGCAAGCTAGGAGGAGGAGTGCTGAGAATTTTCAAATTCAGCAATGAAAGATATTTTCGTTCTTTTAATAAATAACCAGTTTTAACTTTTTTAACCTTTGTGCTCTCCTTTTTTTCTTTGTAAATTTAATGTGAAAACAACAATAATAAATTTGCTGTTGTAATCAGAGTAGATTTCTAACATTTGAAAAAATTCAAATTTTTGAAAAATGTAAGTTACCACAAAAAATTGGCTGGATTGGCTCAGCTGATTTAAGGTTTATCATGAATTCAAACAGACAAACAGACAAACAGACAAATCAAATATGTAAAATTAAGGATTTGTCCTGAAGCATCTTTTTTGAAGAGATTGCTTTGTAATTTTTTATTTTCCATTAGATTTTGTTTCATTATCATTGACATCAATTATCTAAAAATCAAATGTGTCATTTTTATGTCTATAAGTTTCTCATGACTGCTAAAAAAAGAAATATCGTTGAATTTTATTCCCATGAAAAAAATGTTTAAAGTTTGTAATCGATTATCTATGATTCAGCGGAGTGTAGTTAATCTCTCTTATCAATATAGGATTAGCTGATAAATGCAGTTTTAGCGAAAATGCATTTATAAAGTGCATTTGCAATTGTATATTTATAATCAAGGTTTCTAAGAAATGGTAAATAATAAAGATATCAACTAACTATTTAAAAACTTTTTTTAAAAACCTTGGAAGAATTACTTAAAATTAAAAAAATATGGGAATCAAAATAAAAATTTAACTAGCTTGATTTGATTTATTTTCTTTTTTTATATTCAAATTTAAATCTATCATGAATATTACACTGTAATTAATCTATCAACAATTAAACCTCGTTGTTATACATTAAATACTACATTGTAAACACTCTATTATCTATGATACCTTGATGATTGTCTTAAATGCTAACACTGTAAAAAACCATGATGTTTACCTTGAATTCTACACTGTAAACAATCTTTCAACTATTAAACCTCGATGTTTTCCTTGAATTTTACACTGTAAACACTCTATCATCTATGAAACCTCGATGGTTGCTTTAAATACTACACTGTAAACACTCTATCAACTATTAAACCTTGATTATGCCTTGAATTCTACACTGTAAACAATCTTTCAACTATTAAACCTCGATGTCTACCTTGAATTTTACACTGTAAACAACCTATCATCTATGAAACCTCGATGGTTGCCTTGAATTCTACATTGTAAACACTCTATCATCTATGAAACCTCGATGGTTGCCTTGAATATTACACTGTAAACCACTCACCAAAGCTTGAATTCAATTTTATGTGAACATTCTTTCATGGATCAGATTTCAGTCAGATTTTTGAACAGGGTGCTACAAAATAGATAGATATACAAATGGTGGAGGGTGTCCTGAAGTAAGTAGTAATTTCCTAGATGATATATACTTTATAAATATACCAAGAATATCTGAAAATGCGCGTAAAAAAGGTGAACAATTTTAAAGACAATTAAATTCAATTGAAACGTTTTTTTCGATTTAAAAACATTTGATATTTCATTTATGCCCTAACGTGGCTCGATTCTTTAAAAATAGTTTTATCTGGGAGGATTAGACAATTTAAAAAAATGACGAGGATTTCGAGTTGGCTCGGACGAGAAAATGAGGAGAATGTGGCTCGGACGAGAAAATGTTGTGATTGGCCTTCCTTAAGAGGCAGAGAAGGGAGAGAGGTGAGTAAGGGAGGTAGACATTGAGGGGGATGTGGAAGAGAGGTGGGTGATGTGAGGGAGGAAGGGAGTGGGGTGAGGTGAGGGAGGGAGGGATTTTATGTGAGTCTTTGTCTAAAATTATTCAAAACATCTGTTCCTGCAACCTATAATATAATATGATTTGAGTCCCCCTTCTAGCCACGGCTTCCTTTCCAAACAGGAATTGATACTTTCTTTTCTTTCTCTCACAATATTCCCCTCATCTTCCCCCTTTTCTCCTCTTTCTGCCACTCACTTTCCCCATCATCACTTTCCTCCTCTCATTCCTCCATCTAACCTTTCTCGTACCTTTCTTAATTTATACCTGTCCGGCTCACCCTCTAAATGTTTCTATATCCTTTATCCCATTCCTCACTATCCGTCCCATTCCTTGTCTCACCTCCCCTTATCTCTTGCTCTCATATCCCTCCTCACTTATACCCTCCCCTCCCCTCATCCCTCCCCTCCCTCTTACTAATGTCCCATCCCTTTTTCTTAAACCCTCCCAGCTCTTCACTGTTTTCATATGTTNAGTGTATCACCGACCTCTTTAGCGTCTCTGTCAAAGGGTTGATATTTAACAAATGTTATATATTTCAATATGTTTCCCAAGCACTGGATCCCGCTAACTATAAAAATAAATAATTTAACTCTAATAAGAAACTTCAAACTCAATGAGCTCGACTCTGTGCAATTATACCTTTCAAACTTTTTATTTTTTAATGAATGTTTCCCACAAAATATAAAATTTAAGTAATTATTAGCATGTTTAGGAAGACATACTCAGAGAGATCCAAACAGCAATAAAAAGATTCATTAATTTTCAGGACTGGGTCGTCTTAAAAGTGTCTTTAGGTTAAAATGTGTAAATTTTGAACTATAAAATTCTTGGTTTTAAATTTTAGTTTAGAAGTAATTAGCAAAATTCTCATCAATTTGATGTACTCAAACATTCGCTCTAACCTTTCTATGGCTTGAACGGTTGGGAATTGATTTAAAAAGATTTTTCAGTTCCTAAATCTTTGCAACTTGATGTCGCAGACCTTTGATATTTTGAACTATTATATCTCTTTGATCAAATAGTCTTAGTTCACACTTTCACGTTGTATCAGAAAATTTTAATTAGTGCAAAAAAACTCAGTTCCTTAGCACCAAAGGATCTTTAAGATATTCATAAAAAAAATCCTAGTTCCGATAAGTGAAAGGTTAAGTTATTGAATTGATACGCTAGTTTTACCCTTTAAGCTTACAGGCACGCGGGATGTACTTTTCACGCGCTTCGTGATCTTCCTGAACTTTTGAAAATAATTTTGGCTCCACTTCCTCGATCCTATAAACTCATCCTTCCTTATACCCCCCTCCCCTGAACTAGGAGACAGGGGGGTGGGGGTGGAGATCGATATGGAAGTATGTTTTATGGAAGTTGGGAGTGAGAGAACAAAGAACTAGGGGAGCAATACATCTCCCGGCAGAACCCCATAATTTCAAATAAATTCAATCCTGGGAATATGATTATCTTGCTTCTAATCTTTCTATTGTATTATTATTTTTCAACAATCTGATATTTTTCTTTTTCAAATTAATTACTTTGAGAACCTAAAAAATATGGAATAGGAAGACATTATTTGAAGCAAAACTTAAGTGTATTTGATGTTGTTATAAAGCAAATAGTTTTACAAGTAACTAATTAAATGGAGTTGATGTGGCGGAAGACGATCCAAGTTTAAACCGGATGGAGAGACGCGGCAAGAGGGAGTCAGATCTGCCACGTCACCATGAATAGACATATTATTTTATTTCTCAATTTGATAAAGTAAAATTTAGTCAGTAATAAAGTATTTATTTAAACCCGGCGTTTATCCTTCCGAGCGTAGCTAAATTGATACAAAACGCCCAAAAACAAAATGTCCAATAACAAAACATCCAAAATTACACATCACCCAAAAAAACCAAACGCCCAATGTTACAAATCGCCGAAAAACAAAACTTTAACCAAATAACAAAACACCCAAGATAACAAAAAGCCCAAATTTACAAAATGTCCAAAGTTACAAAATATCCAAATTTACAATTTGAAACTTGGGTGTTTTGTTTTTGGGGTGTTATGTTTTGGATGTTATTAACCCTGTGATTGTTTTATAAAGATATTTACGTTGTGTTTTTTCAATAAAAGTTTGAAGAATTGAAGAAGAAGTTATTAGACATTTTGTCTTTGGGCATTTTCATATCCACTCCTATTGATTAAGTTAATTTGGTCTGGTTACACTGCACAATATCTGATTCCCACGTTAATTTAACTTTTTAAAGTAATATCTTGAGTCTAAATTCATCTTCCTCGTCCAGAGTTTTCTGGTTCTCACTGTATGTTGAATATTTTTTAAGAAACACCTGAACATAAATGAAATACATGACTGATATATTTACAAAATCAATAGCTTCAGATACATTTAAAGTTTTCACTTCTAGGCTAAACAGCATCTTTTATTTCAAATTTTAATTGATGCACGATCAATCAAAAATATTTGGAGACACATTTTGAAAACTCTGAGTATCCGTAAACCCTCCCAAGGTGATGTGAGGCCCCAAAGACAAATTGGGTTGGATCGGCTCATTCGTTTTGACGTTTATTGCATGCAAACAAACAAACAAACAAACAAACAAACAAAACAGAAAAACTAGGAAAGTAAATTGGTACTAGGCTTTCAGGACACTTAGGGCCCATCTTCTATTTACCAAGGGCGCATACAGAAATAAATCTAGGGGGGGGGGCAAGATTTGTGCGAAGCGCAAAATTTATTTTGCCCCCCCCCTAGGAGCTCCTAGGGGGGGGG